CCTCCAGGTAGCAGGCTTCAGAGAGAATAGATTATGAATGTTTCTCTTCAGATTTAACTAGTCTGTTCTGCCAATCTTAAGGTCTCCGCATCGATGTTAATCTGGTCAGCTGTGCCTGAATTCCAAAAGGGAGGAGAATATACTGAGGCATGTTGAACCCCCACTTCTCATCATGGCCTGAATTAGTTCTTCAGGTTAACTTTGGAATGCCCTTGGCCAAGGGGAGGGCTCACCAGTCGGCTGTGGGCTTAGAATTTTATTTTTGGTTTACACTATCATTGTGCTGCTGCACTCCAGTGTGCGTGACAGAGCAAGACCCTGTCTCAAAAAAAAAAAAAAAAAAGAACAGAAGCCCTGACTTCTTCCATGCTCTGACTTTTGTTCTATTTAGATCCTCAACAAATAAGATTATGCCTACCCACACTGGGGAAGGCAAGCTGCTTGACTGAGTCCAGAGATTCAAATGCTAATCTCATCTGGAAACAACCTTAAAGACACACCCAGAAATAATGTTTGACCAGATGTCTGGGAATCCCCTGATCCAGTCAAGTTGACACATAAAATTAACTGTCACACATGATGTATCCAGACTAGGCAAATCCATAGAGACAGAAAGATGATTAGCAGTTAACAAGGCATTGGGGGAGGGGGAAATGAGCAATAATTACTTAATGGGGATGGGGTGTTTTTCTAGGGTGGTAAAAAATGTTGAAACTGGCCAGGCACAGTGGCTCACGCCTGTAATCCCAGCCCTTAGGGGGACTGAGGAGGGAGGATCACCTGAGATCAAGAGTTTGAGATCAGCCTGGATAACATGGTAAAACCCCATCTCTACTAAGGATACAAAAAATTAGCTGGGCATGGTGGCAGGAACCTGTAATCCCCATTACCTGGGAGGCCAAGGCAGGAGAATCGCTTGAACCTGGGAGGTGGATGCTGCAGTAAGCTGAGATTTCACCACTGCACTCTAGCCTGGGTGACAGAGCAAAACTCTGTCTCAAAAAAAAAAAAAAAAAGTTGAAACTAAGGAGAGAAGGAGAGTTGCTGGTGTACAACATTGTGAATACACTAAATGCCACTGAATTGTAGACTTTAAAATAGTTAATTGCATGTTGCATAACTTTTACTTCAACTTTTTAAAAAAGCATTAAAAACTCTTTCCCTGCAGCTGTGTAGTCACGCAGAGGCAGAGGCTTGCATGCACTCAAGATCTGGCTTCACTCGTAACCCACCACCACGGCCCAGGAAGGCATTGCTGCAGGAAGTGTTGTGGACCTCAATACTGCTTTACAAGAGGCTCTGAAGATTGCCCTCGCCACAATGTCCTGGCACATGGAATTTTATTTTATTTTATTTTTATTTAGACAGGGTCTTATTCTGTTGCCCAGGCTTGAGTGCAGTGGCCCAGTCATGGCTCACTACAGCCTAGACCTCCTGGGCTCAAGCGATTCTCCTACTTCAGCTTCCCCAGTAGCTGGGGCATCAGGTATACAACACCACATCTGGCTAATTTTTATATCTTGTAGAGACAAGGTTTTGCCATGTTGCCCAGGCTGGTCTTGTACTCCTGAGCTCAAGCAATCCATCCACCTCAGCCTCCCAGAGTCCTGGGATTACAGATGTGAGCCACTGTGCCCAGCCAAAACTTGGTTAGATTTCTTAGTGAGAATGTAGAGATTTGTCTACTGAGCCCTAAGAAAGTGTTCCCAGCTGGGCGCGGTGGCTTACACCTATAATCTCAGCACTTTAGGAGACCAAGGCGGGCAGATCACGAGGTCAGGAGATTGAGACCATCCTGGCTAACACGGTGAAACCCCATCTCTACTAAAAATACAAAAATTAGGTGGGCATCTATAGTCCCAGCTACTCGGGAGACTGAGGCAGGAGAATGGCATGAACCTGGGAGGCGGAGCTTGCAGAGAGCTGAGATCGTGCCACTGCACTCCAGCCTGGGCAACAGAGCAAGAATCCATCTCAAAAATAAAAAATAAAAAAAAGAAAAGAAAGTGTTCCCTTCTCCCTTGCCTGAAGAACTTGATCCTCCTTTAATTGGGAAAATTATCCTAATTGCTGGGGAAAACAGGTCCCTTTTTGCCCCTTAGCCAGAATTGGAAGTCCACACCTAGCATGTCCTGGGGGATGAAAAGTAGACAAATATAGGGCAGAAGAGACCTTCCCAAAGAAAAAATTACAGGAATTTGCTACTTTATTTAATGAGCGGGCAGGGGACTATTTATGCAGGTGGATTTGGAAAGTTCTCAACTAAGGAAAATCTGAATATAATTTTAGATCAAAATGAATTTATTGATTTGAGTGTACTTACTGGCGATTCTGCATCTGATGTTCTCCCACTGACAGCTGGCAGCCATTATTCTAGAAATTCGAAGTGTTAGTTTATGCAAACCTGGATATGATTCTGGCCCATCATTAATTTGTACAACAGTGGAAGTCTCTTGACATAAATTAGAGGAAGACATTTAAAGACCTCAGGAGGCAAGAATGATTTACTGAATCTATATATGTATCTTGCTGAGCAACCCAATAATTATATTCCTTGAAAAGGCCCAGAATTCACCTTCATTACCAAAGCTAGAGGACAATTGATGAGGGAAGTGCCAAAATCATTAAAAAGCACTTTCCTGACCATCCTCTCTAAGCCCAGAATAGTTGTGGATGGGTTCACCATTGAAATGGCTCTGACCTCAAGGAGGATGAGAGGATTCTGGGTTGTTAGAGGCCATGTGGTGACAGCGAAGCAGCTACATTGTCTCATGTATATACCCTGGGGTTCATTGTTGTGTGCCAGCAAAATTTAGGACACGGACACACACAAGTTTGGGAGTGGAGGTTTAATAGGTAGAAGAGAAGAGAAAGAGAAATAGCTTCTTCCAAAGAGGAAGGGGTCTCCAATCGGAGAAGGAAAGGACCGAGTGGAAAACGACTGGCTGTAGATGAAGGCACCGAGTTTTATTGTCCAGTTTGAGGAGGCAGTGTCTGATTTTTGTAGGGCTCGATTGGTTCAATCAGGTATGACGTCTAATAGTGCACAGGGAAGAATGGTTGCCTCACCTGAATCTTATTATGCAAATGGGCTTTCCAGTTGATTGGCACCATTGTGTCTACTCCTTTACAATACATGTGGCTGGCAGAGAAGGGAAGATGGAGCTGCCATCTTAAACATGTCTAGTCCTTAGTTCCTGCCAGCATTCACCCATGCAAGCTCCCAGCTTGCAGGCTACTCTTTGTTAGAAAGTGAGTTGGAGGGCCGGGCACGGTGGCTCACACCTGTAATCCCAACACTTGGGGAGGCCGAGGCCAGCAGATCACTTGGGGTCGGGAGTTCGAGTCCAGCCTGGCCAACAGGGTGAAACTCTGACTCTACTAAAATTACAAAAATAGACAGGCGTAGTGGCACACACCTGTAATCCTAGCTACTCGGGAGGCTGAGGCATGAGAATCACTTGAACCTGGGAGGCGGAGGAGGTGGAGGTTGCAGTGAGCTGGGATTGCACCACTGTATCTAGCCTAGGCCACAGAGCGAGACTCTGTCTCAAAAAAAAAAAAAAAGAAAAGAAAGAAAGTGATTTCATGATTTGGGGCTGCTTTTCATTAAAAAAGAAAAGCCTTACCGAGGACTCCCATACCCTTACTATCTGCCTAAGTAATTTCTTCTTAGCTCCTGTATCATTACCTCCCTCTGGAGTGGTAACCCTAACTGCTGTTAGGGGGTGTTGGGCAATGACTCTTTCTAGCTACTTCCTTCTTAAAAGGGGTGTCATGTGGGGAACAGCAGCTGGGACTCCTCCTGGAGTCTATCTAAGGGACCTCAGAAGAAAGGCGTGCCCATGCATACTTCAGTCTGCAGCAGCATTTGGAGTTTGATTGCTTCTAGGCAAGAGGAAACAATTTGAGTTATAATATTGAGCAGACAAGGTCACATGAGCAAAAGGGGACTTAATAATGGAGCTAATCAGTTCCACAAAGAAGACTGGGATTCATTAAAGAGGGATTGTAGCCATCCGGGGCTGGAGCCTGCATTTTCTCTTAACCTGTCAGTGATTTTCACTTGATCTTTAAGCACCTGTAAGTTTTCCTCTACTTGACTAGAGGTGTTTCTCCAGAAGCAGCATGTTTCATTTAAGACTGCACAGGTACCCTTACCTTTGCTGTAAGGACATCGAGGGCCAGTCTATTCTGTGTTACTACTGAGGCTAAAGACTCTGGATTGTTTGTGCTTCCACAGCTCCTACTGTTGCCTTCCATCTTCGTTGCATCACAGTGCAAATATTAAGTGCTGACCTTTCAAGAGGAGGAATACCAGCAAACCGGAAGAGGCCTCTGGTTATGGAATTCCCCATCCATGGTCTTTCTAAGATGAGATTGTCATGTGCATGCCTTCTCAATCTTCTCTTGCAGTTAAATCTCCATATGAGGGCATGGAAATGATAGGTCTCTTTGTTAGGCGTATTCAAGATAGTGCACTTTTTTTTTTTTTTGAGAATTACAATAGGTACCTTTTATTGAAAGCTCACTGTTTGCAAAGCAGTGTACATTCATTATCAAATTAAATCATCAAAAAACCCTAAAAGGTAGGTATCAGTACCACCTGCACTTTGTGATTGTGCCAGACAATGAGTAATAAAATAGGTAAGAATGGCTGTGGGGGAAGCCAGCTGGGTTCTAGTTATAGCTGCGTTTCAGAAAATTATTTAACATGCTGACTTTAACAACCTAAGCGTCTTCTCCATGTGTGCACACAGGGTAGACTTCTGAAGAGTGGCGCTGTAGCTTCTAGGGTAAAGGCTGTATTAAGTCAAGACAGGATGACAATTCAGCCTCCTGCCAGTCTAAGGGCCCTCCCAGCAAAGGGCTATTCACTCGGATTAAGGCCTTCTCTCCCAGACTGAATTGCCCACCCCCCAAAACACCTCCTACAGAAAATTTGGAGTCCTCGCTCCTTCCCTGGCAGCCCGTACTTAATAGGGCGGTGAATTAATTATCAAACATGCAACAAAGGATATCGAAAGTTTAGCGAAAATGGCAACATTTTGGAATAAATGACCATAATGTGTATTCTGCGTGCCACCCTAACTGGCGCAGATTTTGCAGCTCAGTTGTTTTCCCTGGAAGCTGTGTGGCCGAGAGGAGGAAGAGTATCTCTGGGATTTCAGCTTGGAGGAGAAAGAATTCAGGCTGCCGGAACTGGACTAGCACTTCTGAATATCCCGAGGTGAGGTCTCGTGACTTCCTTGGGAAGCTCTACCGCGCCTGCACCCCCACCCCACCCCACAACCACCACAATAGGCTGCTGGAGTCTTGGGACCACCCAGGTCTGCTGCCTAAATCCTTGCTCGCTTAGGGAGAGGAGGAGTGTTCCTGCGGGGCGGGGGCTTGGGGAAGGGAGGCTTGGGCAGGATTGTAGGGTAAGATCGCCCTGGTGACGAGGAGCGGATCTAGACCTCAGCCTAATAAAGGTTGCTTATAAAGGTGTCGTAAATAAAGGACAGGGCGGTGCCCACGGTTGCTAGGGGCGCAAGCGTCTCCGGGCTGCCAGAATGACTCCAGCTCTGTGCGCGGCGCCAGTCCATGTCATGTTCCGGCTGTGTCTCTGGGTCCCACGGCCCCCTGCTCACGTGGCAACTACTGTGGCTACTCGTCCAGGCGGCTCAGCCTCTGGAGTGGGTCCAGGACCCGCTGCAGCTGATCTCCGACGCCCTGTGGCAGATGAGCCCTTGTCTTCCCTCTCCTCCGATCTCCCACCCGAATCGCCCCATGCGCTTACCCTCCCGCCACCTCGCAGACCCGGGGGCTTTGAACATCTGGGGTCCTCTGCTTCCTCCCAGATGTCAGCTCCGGCTCAGGAATTGACTGAGACTTTGACCAAGACTTTGGTTCCATTCCTGGACACGGATTCAGTCGGAGAGCTGCCCCCGTGGCCAGAGCAGTTCCTTGCTGCACACCAGAATCTGAATGACAAGCTGACTCGGCAAGAAAGGCTCCCAGAGGTGGTCCCAATGCTGGACTGGGATCAGAACCAGGCCCTAGCTCGGCCTCTTTGCCTCAAAAGTAAGGTTAAAACTGCAAATCTAGATCAGGCTGCAGATCATCAGGTATATGAAATACTTGTTCTACCTCTAGATAGAATTCAAAAGCAACGAAGCTTATTGTTTGGCCCAAGAACCTGAAGAAAGGTCTACCTCAGCATGGAGGCTTGCTAAGGTTGTGGCTGGAACTCCACATCGATTTGTATCAAACCTCAGCGTCAGAAACAAACTTTGCAGGATATTTAAATTCAAGTATGAATATACTGTATCCAGGTACCCTGTCCCCAGAACTCCAGGTGAACTCAGATGAGCCTCCAGGGCCTCCTGAGCAAGTTGGACTTTTTCAATTTCATCTAGAGCCAGAAACTCAAAATCCAGAGACCTTGAAGAAATCCAGTCCTCTTCACTCCAGCAGGAAGCCCCAGAGCAGCTTCCACAGCTCCCTGGGGAGGTAGAACCTTCTTCAACCCAGCAGGAGGTCCCAGCTCTGCCTTCACAGTCCCTTGAGAGGGTTCACTCTACTTCAACAGAGCAGGAGGCCCCAGCACAGCAGCTACCTGCCTCTGAAGAGACTGTAGCTCAACCATCAATACATCATGAGGCAAATGTCCCATTTAAAAGTTGGAGTGAAGCAGCCGGGCTTGATGGCTCATGCCTGTAATCTCAGCACTTTGGGAGGCTGAGGTGGGCAGATCACAAGTTCAGGAGTTTAAGACCAGCCTGGCCAATATGGTGAAACCCCATCTCTACTAAAAATACAAAAATTAGCCAGACGTGGTGGCAGGCGCCTGTAATCCCAGCTACCCAGGAGGCTGAGGCAGGAGAATTGCTTGAACCTGGGAGGCAGAGGTTGCAATGAGCCGAGATCACACCACCGCACTCCAGCCTGGGCAACAGCAAGACTCTGTCTCAAAAAAAAAAGTTAGAGTGAAGCTCAGCACTCACACTTGCCCAATGTCACAGTCAAACCTGTGGAGGTGGAGCTTACAGCAATTCCAGAACCAGGTAAGGAACTTACATCAAGCCAGGAACAGGCTGCAACTCAACCTCTAGAGCATCCTAAGGAGGTGGACTCTTCCTCAACCCAATTAGAGGCCCCACCTCAGACACCAGAGCACCCTGAGGAGATGAAACCTTCTGCAACCCACCAAGGGACCCCAGCTGAGCCTCCAGGTCCTCCTGTGAAGGCTGAATTTTCCCCCAGTGAGTAGGAGAAGCCAGCTCAGCCTTCTGAGTTTCCTGGGGAGGCTGAACCTTTTCAGATCCAGCAGGAGGCCCCAACTCAGCCTCCAGAGTCCTCTGTGGAGAGTGCAGCTCAAATTCCACCGAATCATGAAGTGATAATCAAGCTCATTATAAGTTGCCCAACATTACAGTGAAACCTGTGGATGCAGAGGTTACCATAACCTCAGAGCCTACCAAGGAGACTGAATCTTCTCCAGCCCAGCAGTAGGCCCAAACCCAGTCTCCAGAGGAGGTGGAAACTTCTGCAACCCAAGAAGAGGCCCCAGCTGAGCCTCCAGGTTCTCCTGTGAAGCCTGAACCTTCTCCCAGAGAGCAGGAGAAGCCAGCTCAGCCTTCTGAGTCTTCTGGAGAGGTTAAACCTTCTCCCACCCAGGAGAAGATCCCAGCTCAGCCTCCAGACATCATGAAGTAACAGTTTTACCTCAAGCTCAGCACTCAGATTTGCCCAATGTCACTGTTAAGTCTCCAGATATACAGCTCACCATAGCAACGGAGCCTACTGCAGAGAGGGAAATTTCTCCAATCTACCAGGAGGCTACAGCTCAGCTCTCAGGGCCAGTTAATGATGCAGAACCTTCCACCACCCAGCATGGGGGCCCATCTCTGCCTCCAGAGTCATCAGAAGAGGCTGGACCTTTACCAGTTAAACAGGAGACTTCAATACCATAACCTATTAAGGATGAGAACCCCTTTCCAACCCAGCAGGAGGCTGCAGCTGAGCATCCACAGACCCCTGAGGAGGTTGAGTCTTCTCCAACCCATCAAGAAGCCCCAGCTCAGCCTTCAGAGCTCCGTAATGAAGTTGTAGCTCAATTTCCAGAGCATCATAAGGTAATAGTTTCTCCTCTAAGTCATGATCAAGTTCAGCCTCCAACATTGCACAATGTCACTGTTAAACTTGTGGATCACATGGTTGCCGTGACTCCAGAATTCACTAATCAGGTTGAAATTTTAATACAACAGGGGGCCCCAGCTCAGTCCTTAATGTCCCCTGAGCAGTTTCAACATTTGAAAGACCAGCAAGAGATTGTAATTCAGCAGCTAAATACCCCTGAAATGATGAACTTCCTCCAGTCCATCAAGAGGCCACAACTCAGCCTCCAACTCAGCTCTCCTCAGACTTTAAGTTCATAGAATGATGAGATGATATTTTCAACTCTAGATCTGTCTTCAATATTAAGAAGTAATTCAACTTTGACTATTGTTAGGGTCACCCTGACCAGACTGTTCCCTTTCCCTCCCACAGGCCTTACAATACAGTCCCTTGCACTCTCCACACAGCTACCCCAGGGCAAAAGACAAACCCCTTCACTGACCCCTCCAGTGACTATCCAGATGATTTCGGCTAAACTGGCAAACAGTTACAAGATGCGGTTAACATGTCTGTTAACCTCGCTTAACAAAGCTGGCAAAAACATCTCCAGGAAGCGGGCAGAACACCTGTTCCCAACTCAGTTCACACACCCTGACCCAGTTCCTTGCCCTGTAAAGCCCTGCTGCAGGCTGTAAGCGGGGCTGTCTCCTCTGCTAGTCAAGGAGCAGCCCGGCAGGACAATAAAAACTTGCCCGTCTGACTTTGGGTCTCCTTGTCCTTTTCCTCGGCCGGCCTTACAACCAATACCACAGTTAAAAATGTGGATATGGAGCTTACCAACTGTCGAGGTTGAACCTTCTCCCTTCCAGCAGGACAACCCTCCGATTCCCACTGAGCAGGCTGACTTTTCTCTAACCCAGCCTGATCCCCCTTCCCCACTTCTGGATTCTCTTGAAAGGATTGAATCTCCAGTCCAGCAACAGGCCACAGCTCAGACTCCAGATCCTCCTAAGGAAGTAGAACTTTCTCCAGTCCCGCAAGAGTTCCCAGCGAGCCACCAGTGCCCCCTAAGGAGGCTGAACCATCTGCAACCCAGCAGGAAGCCTCAGGTCATCCTCCAAAGTCCCCTGAAGAGGTCAGTCCTCCACCACAGCAGGAGATACCAGTTCAGTCTTCAGAGCCACCTGAGAAGGTTGAACCATCTCCAGTCCTACAGAAGGCCTCAACTGAGGTTTTAGAGCCACATCCAAAGTAATTAACTGGCTGGGCACGGTGGCTCATGCCGGTAATCCCAGTGCTTTGGGAGGCCAAGGCAGGTAGATCACCTGGGGTCAAGAGTTCAAGACTAGCCTGGTCAACACGGTAAAACCCCGTCTCTACTAATACTACAAAATTTAGCCGGGTGTGGTCATGGGCACCTGTAATCCCAGCTACTCAGGAGGCTGAGGAGGTGAATCGCTGGAACCTGGGAGGCAGAGCTTGCAGTAAGCCGAGATCGCACCACTGCACTCCAGCCTGGGCAGCAGAGCGAGACTCCGTCTCAACAAACAAACAAACAAACAAACAAAACAAAGTAACTAACTGGCATTATCTGTTCAAGAGATTGGACAGATAGGAAGTTAAACTTCCCGGAGATGCCTCATCATTTGTGCCAGTGACCCCACATTATTTCTTGATTAATTGTGCAAACTGGGAAGCTGATAGCTAGTTTTTCCAATTCAAGAGTCATCATGAGGATATTCTCAATTGTTATAAGTGGGACTTGTGTTGTTCCCATGTCTAGATATTTTAATGCCGGCAATTTTTTTTTTTTTTTTTTTTTTTTTTGAGACGGAGTTTTGTTCTTGTTGCCCAGGCTGGAGTGCGGTGGCGCAATCTCTGCTCACCGCAACATCTGCCTCCCAGGTTCAAGTGAAGTTTAGCATTCTGCCTTTTGTTAGGGGGCTCCTTGCTGGACAAAATCTCCAGATGTTCTAGACGGCTGAATATCTGGTCTGTGCTTGCTTGGATTTTGTTTTCTACTAAGTGTGCAAACTGCTTGTCTGCCATCTCCAGGCGTCCCATGTGAGACTGGATCTCATGGACCTGCTTGTGGGTTTACTGGTACAGGGGCTCCATGTCACCAGTCTGGCTTGACCTGGCTCCAGCTCTGGCTTCCAAGATAGTGCACTTTCTAAAAAGGAACCTAGGTTAGGGATGTCCCCAGATGATGTGGCCATGTCAGTGCAATTTAAAAATAATAGGTTGGGAACCATTGCTACCATAGTGCAGGTTCCTTAGCGTTATTGAACTGAGCAAATTGCTCAGGACAGACCCAACAATTAGTCTTTTTGTACAAATGGGCCATGGCTGATAGTGTAGGAGCTAAAGGGTGTGATGTATCACTAAACCCAATAAAAAGTCCTAGCAGACTTGATGATAGTAAAACTTTCATGCTTCCTTTTTGTTGGTAACTATTATCCCTGTTATAATAGTTATATATAACTATTTTATATATATATATAATAATTAAGCAAAATACTACAACGATGGAAACTCTCTATCCAATATTTCAGTTAGAAGGTGCTACTGTGTATAGCTCTACTGCAGTTAGTAGAATGAGTATAGCAATTTCTGCAAGGGTGTTGTATTAGATTATTTCCATCTAAAATTTTACTTACCAAGATATTGAATTTCACTTTGGGGGTCTATGAAGTTCCTTGGTTTTATTTTGCCAAACAAAGAAATCTCTGGGTTATGGGCACCCTACTCACTTTCATTACCTGGCAGAATTTGCAGGATAATTGCCCAGAACTAGCGTATTGATCCAGATATTTACATTACCCATCCCTTTTTGCTTCTTCCAAGCTGCAGGTGATCACCACTTACCACTTGATCCACAGGTATAAGCAGGGTTAGTCTAAAATGCAGGCAAAAAGCTTAAAAACAATGAGACTAGGATTTAATGACAAATATATAAGCTTGGGAGCATAATTTCTCTCTCTAGTCCTCATTTTTGGTAAAAACAAATTATGATAGGACTATGTTGTTCGTAGAATAAACTTTAGTTTTATACTTAGCCTGATTATTTGCATAAAGTGCAGCAAGAAGAGTAATTTCTACATAAGCCTTTTGGATTGGTTTTGATGGAACTCTGTTCCACAAGGAATCTCAGATAAGACCTTTTAAAGCTGAGCCCAGCCATGGGTTTGTATCCTCAGATACCTGTGAGTTGGATCCTAAGATAAACTTGGAGCTCCTGGACCTGTTAGAAAGTGACATTCTTTACTGACCACAGGTTGGGAACTCTGTGTGGGGACTGTGCAGACAAGG